TGTTAAAGGCCCCTTCAATATCTACAAAAGCAACCATACAAAATTCTTTGAGTTTTATGGATTTTTCTATTCTGTAAGTGAGGGAGTGGAGAGCTGTCTCTGTAGATTTTCCCTTAGTGTAGGCATGCTGTGAGGGGGACCACTGGTTGGGGCTTACAGCACGCCTTACTTCTACGTCTATTATTCTTTCAAGAGCCTTCAACATGAAAGAGGAGAGGCTTATAGGACGGAGTTCATTGGGGTTATGGTGCGAGGTTTTACCTGCTTTGGGTATAAAAACTACTCTAACTTCCCTCCATTTAATCGGGACATAGTTAAATAAGAAACAATGTCTAAAAATTGCCAAAAGCCGGTTGTGTATTAACTCCCACGAATTCTGGAGCTCAATTGGATGAATACCATCCGGTCCTGGTGATTTGTAGGGTTTAAAACTAAAAATAGCCCATTTGACGATCTGCAGGTTAACCTTAATAGAGTTAACCGGTGAGAGATTAAGGCACTCTGGGGATACAGCTACCGAAGTAGAAGATCCCGGAAAGTGAGTATCTAGTAGTAATTGTAAAGATTCGCTACTATTATTGCACCATGTCCCGTCAGATTTTTTGAGTAACTCTGGGACAGATGGATTTTTGGATAAGATTTTACGCAGTCTAGAGGTTTCAGAATTGCTATTTATTTCTTGACAGTACGATTGCCAAGTGTCTCTCTTGGACCTACGTAAATTTTTCTTATATTCCTGCAGAGAGGTTTTGTAATTCAGCCAATCACTCTCATTATTATGTAGCTTTGCTCTGTTGAAGAGTCTCCTACACTCTTTTCGTAAAAGACCTAGATGCTTATTCCACCAAGGTGGGTTACATTTCCTACTAGGTTGTGTGGGGGGACAAGCATAACTGAAAGCTTCGTTGAGCACTGAGGTGAGATCTTGGACTTGATTGTCTAGATCAAAAGTGTTCCCAGGGGGATCGGAGGAAGTGGTTAAAAGCAGCTCACTTAGAGCTGCATTATAATTCGTCCAGTTTGTGTTTTTAACATTTCTGAACGTTTTTTGATTGCAGATGTTCGATTCATCTAAGGTTAAGGTAAATTCTAGAATCATATGGTCTGAGAACGAGTGTTGAGTGGACACTTTCCAGTTCTTGACCGATTCGTGAAGCCTAGCAGTAGCAAGAGTGACATCTAACACTTCCTGCCTGTTTTTAGTAATAAAAGTTGGCATATTGCCATCATTGCAGATGAACAGATTGTTACTAAATACAAAATCAAAAAGTAACTCACCTCTTTCATTAGTATTTGAGCTGCCCCAAACCTCATGATGAGCGTTGGCATCGCAACCTATTAGAAGCTCTACCCCGAGTCTCCTGGCGCTGCTTGTTAGCTGTATCAGGACATTCGATGGTATTGTGGCATGGTCATGTGCCAGATATGCAGATACTGCCCATATTTGGCCCCAGGAGCCCTCGATACTTACTGCGGTTTGGTCACCATCACTATATTGCGAAAGTAAGAGAGCATTAAATTTTTTATTAACCACTATGCAGGACCTAGGCTTACCCTTATTTACCGCATAAAATAGGTTGTAGTTATTAGCCCTGATTTCGCATACAAGATCCTTATAAATCCATGGTTCTTGTATCAGGACCATATCAGCCTCGTTGTTGCTGAGGCGTTGCAGTAGACTGGCGGATGCAGCCTTGCTATGATGCAGGTTAATTTGCTGTACCCGCATCTTCAGTATGTGTGGATCCATTTTTCTCCACCACAGTGACATCAAAAGCACTATCCTCCTCAGAGTCATTACTCATTAGGAGTTCCTCTTCATCGAAAAGATAGCGCATGCCTATGCTCTCCTCTGATGTAATTGAGTGAGCTGGCGAAGGAGCAGACATTGAAATGTCCATGCACACAGGTGAGTCTTCAGATGGAATAACCGGACCCACTTCGGTCATTGAAGCAGGCTTAATGTTGCCCACTTTCGACAAGGGATCAGCAGTGTGTTGAGAAATTGCCGCTGATTCCCGTACATCAGACGAGGATTGCTCCTCATCTTTTTTGTAGACCCTCATAGTTATGGGGAAAAAACCGTAATTTAAAACGCCACCAGATCGCGCCAAAATGGCCAGAGAGGCTTTGTCGATCACAAAACTGACCGACCTAAACTTGCCTTTGGCTTCTTCCAGCTTAGTGACCTTCCACGTGGACGTATTTAGATCAGGGTTTCCCACCCGAATTAGCTCCAGAATCCGCTGAGGGTCGGATGGTTCGGCTGGAATCCAGGAACGCGCCCTAGGTCGGCCAGGAATTTGTTCCTTGGCAACGACTTTAAGCTTTGCGCCTGGCCAGACCTCACCCATTCTGGAGATGGCAATGCGAAAGAGATCAACAGAACGCTGATCAACGCAGGCGACTAGTTTCACATGGCCCTGAAACCATCCACCGTCGCGACATTTGGGAATTGTACCTGGAAATTCCTTAAGAACTTCGATGAACAAGTCAAGGAGCTTTCGCTCAATTTGATCCCATTTTTCAGGATTAATAGTGCCATCTGGATCATTTTCATCAATGACCGCCATTATGATGGAGCCCTTCAGCGTGTCGCTAAAGGACTTAGTAGTGGTGGCGTTGCCACGAAATTTTGCCTTTTTGGCATCTGGCTTCGAAGCTGACTCATCTAATGAGCGCTGGCGCTTCGGTACAGGTTCCTTTTTGACTTCCTTAGAAGTATCAAGGACCCGTTTGGCCCAGGCTAATCTAGCCTTAAGAGACTCGGACGTAACCGAGACATTACCATATCTCTCGAGCAGCCTAGTCGCCGCTCGCCGTTCTTTATAAATTCTCCTGGATGGAGAGCCCGACCATGCAGAAGGGCCAGAACGCGTGGAGATTCCTGTTTTATTAGGAGGTACCCTGTTATTACCGCTAGAAGTTGCGGTAGGTACCTTGGAACTAGCCGTTCCAGAAGAGCTTGGTTTAACCGAGCTTGATTTTTGTAAATTTTTATTGTTTTGGTTCATATTTTAAACCCACGAGTTGCGGAGAAAGGAGAGTCGATCCGGGCAGAGATCCGCTATACCCGGACAAGGCTAAGTTACAACCGGAGGGCGCCAGATATCCGGAGGTCTCCGTTTAGAGACACACTAACGTAGTGCCATTCATCTCATCGGCACGGGTCGAATAACACCGGAGATTACGGGTTTTATCGAGTTTTCCTCTCTAGATCCATAGTGTTCTGTTGAGTCAATGAAATTATCAACTACAAACAGGTTCACCTCGAGAAGGGTGTGATAAAGTACCACGCACCATGGTCTTGGTAAGGCATAGGCTGATGTTTTGCGCATGACCATACCCTGTTCATTGAGAACACGAACCCATTATTAATGTTTTATTGATAAAAAGGTAATGCAATATATTTTTGCTATAGACTTTTTGATATTATTTACATAAATTAATAAAAATGAAATATTTTGTAATATAATTTTTAAAATTTGTTTAAAATGCTAAAATATATATATTCATAATTACTTTTCTAAAGTGTGATATAAATAATATAAATACTTTATAGATAAAAAGGTATTTCAATATATTTTTTCGATAGGTTTATGTTATTTTTTATATAAATGAATAAAAATTGATTATTTTGTAATATAATTTTTAAATTTTGTTTAAAATGTAAAAATATATAAATTTATAATTACCTTTCTAAAGTGTGATATAAATATTATAAATATTTTATAGCTAAAAAGGTAAGTCATTGTATTTTTCTCATAGTTTTTTCGTCATTTTTTTTTATAAGTTATTTTAAATATAATTTGTTACATAATTTTAAAAAATTTTTTAAATTGCATAAATACATAAATTAATTATTACTATTCTTAAGTGCGATATACAAATTATAAATAAATTTCTTTTAACAAAATCGAGCAATAAGAAATATAATATATTCTTACATTTCTTTGAAATCATATGTTTTTGCAGTGATAATAAAAGAATTTTATAGATTATAAAAGCCATACTCATCCTTAATTTTTCTAACAAATATAAGGTACATATATACCTAACAATAATTCAAAATTATCTACAAATTAATGAGTTCTGTATTTTGCATAAATTTTTACTAAATTGTGTAGTTTAGTTTTTTTAGTTTATATATTTCGATAATCTCATGTTATTCCCAATGTAATTAGAATTATATTTCTAAACCAAGGATTCTTTTTGTCTTTGAAGACGATGAGTATTCTTTTTCTTGTTCTTTTAACTCCATTAATCACTTTGCACATTATATCCCATCCATGCTGCTCTAGGTAATATATATTAACTGCTTAACATGTTGAAGTAGACCGATTTGTACTTTTACTGAACGATTGCCATATATCATTCTTTCCATTCTGCTTTCTACTATAAATAAAATTAGTAAATATAAAAATTTTAATGAAATCTGGGTTCAAGATTAGTATTCAAGATTAGTAATTCCTGCAAATATTCCCGCATATGCAACGGATTAGCCAACAGTTTAAAAAAAATTCTATTAAAGGTCTATAAGTTAATAGAGTCCGTGCACTTGATTGGAGTTAAAAAAGAGTCTCAAAAGTCTTTGATTCTACTTTTGGATTTTCTTTAAGAACATGGTTTACTCGTATTGGGTCTGTAAATATGGGCTGCAAGTTTCTGCAAGTATGAAATTTGAATTGCTTTTTGCCAATTTTACCCCACTGTGTTATATAGAAGAAAATCCTGAATATTATTAGTATTCAAATATTGTTAATAGAATACTAGTAGCATAATATTGTTTAATAAATATCAGTTATTGGTAATAGATGCACTCTGTATCACACTTCGTTTGATTTCAGAATGTCAAGTATGATCCTGATGATAAATTATGCCATTAATGTTTATAATATAGTTGCCATTTATTCATAATAGTTAAAATATTATTTTAAATATTTTGTTAAAATTTTTAAAAACTTCAAAGTTCAGGGGAAACAAGGCTCAACATATACAAATAATGTTGTCTTAACTTCCGTTGGTATTATGTTATATATGACGCTTAGTACTTTCCTTATTGTGCATATTGACATTCTTTTATAAATTCTTGAAACTAATTTCTTAACTGGAAATTAATAACTAAATTATTGTAATTAATAATAATGATACATTAATAACATTTATAATATAAATTTATCTGCTCCATTAAATCGTATTTGTAGCATTGGGCTTCAACAACACCTATTCCCACCCTGTATAAACAACATTTTAAACAAAAAAAAAAACAAATTATACTATATTTCTATAACATTGATACAATTTTGTATAAAAAAAATTCTAAGATAAACAACATAATTGGAAATTATTTGACATTTTATTCACACTCAGCCATGTGAACAATACATAATATATAAAATTCCAACCCACCTAAACTATGTAGTGTGGTGCATTATTTCTACCCAACACAATACTTGGTATGCACAGTAACCATATTTTATGACAAATATTTTATCTGCCGACGTCTAATAGGAGCATTGCTCCAATCTATTGAAGCCCGTACGACTAGTTTCCCACATGAGTGAGTACGTGTATTTACCTTTGCTATGAAAATATTATTGAGGTCCTTTCACGTGCTTTGTTTGCACATATGAAATTATATTTTGTGTGTGCCAGCACATCCAATTGGCCGTTCACTACTGCATCCGTTGGCCATGTGTCCTCCATGCGGTCTGTGGAAATATACAAAATACAGAGTGCCATCATTAGCTTCATATTATGACACTTAAATAATAAGTTTTGCCAAGAATGCTTGTGTCCATTGTTTGTGGAAATTCTACAGTCTAGACGTTAGCCAGCGCTATTTTTGTTATGAAATTTTTTATTTTAATTTAGTTTATTGGGTTTTTTTTTATACCAAATGGTATGTTCTGACCAAATGTGCATTGTGAAGATATATGGAGTATGAAGATAAAGCATATTTAATTTAAAATTATAGCTAATTGAATTATGTTAGTGATAATTAATTATTTTATGTTACCAGTGGTAATACAGAAGTTGCCTAGGAACATAATGTATAATAAAAATTTTGTCGCTACTATTTTCTTTAAATTTCTTAAAGAACGTTATTGCTTCCATATGACTGTTTTAGATCATACATTTTATTTATTAAGTATTGAAGTAAATTTACTGTATCCATTGTAGAGGAAAGATTTTCGTTGGTATGAATTTGTGCATTAGGAATAAGATAAATAGATACTAAACATTACTAAGTGCAGTCGTTGGGTATGAAGGCGATTTATAGTATAGAAAATAGACAGAATCTAGTGTTGTTTAGTGTGGTTACCTAATGTTAAGGCTCAAGACCACAGTGTTCTAAAAAACACACGTATCAATATAATGCGCCGACAAATGCCCCATTGGCTAGATTTTTTGTAATAGGGATATGTAGAACAGTAAGTTATCAAAAAAAAAGTCGTTAGCAAATTTTTGGGAATGCGTACAGCAGATCTAACCCAAAGCTTACAAGTGATGATTTGGATGAACACGTATAACTCACGTGGATCTTTTGCCTACATTCTCTTAAAGGTGATTTTAGTAGGTTGATGTCTTAGACTGTGAGATTTGATGTTCTCCACTTAATGTAAAAATAAGAAGAAAAAATATTGAGACAACCACAAAAGATCTAAGCATGTTTTCCTTTTTAAAACGAAGGTACTATTTTGGACATTCCTTCAAAGGTTGTTTTAGTGGGTTGAGATTATAGATTGTTAGTTTTGCTGCTCTTCACTTAATACAAATACAAAAATAAAGATGTTTTAGCAACTATAAAAAAGTCCTAGTATATTTGTTCCTTTGTTAAAACAAAAGCAAAATGTTAATCCAATCACAATTAATATTTGACGTTAAAAAAATATAAAGGAAATGTCTTTTAATTGTTTTTCGATAAAATACTACTATTTCTTAAATCTCAGACTATAAGATAAATAAATTGCTTGTAAATTCTTTCAAAAGTTAAAAAAATAAATACAAATCGAATAAATAATAGTTAACTACAAAAACATTGTTGTCATGTCCTTTTTTGAGATATAAACGGCAATCCAATAAAATTAAAAATAATACCAAAAATTGTTTGGCTTAATAACTTTCAACAAAATATAAATTTCATCTATAACGAAATCATACAATCGTTGTACTGTTTTTTTTAAGGATGCTTTGTTGCTTTGGGTTTGTAATTTTTTATTTCTATAGCAGTTCTATAGAAGTTCTATAGCAGTCAAGGATAAATTATTTGTCCGGTGTTTTTCTTTGTATTCAGTTTAGGTTGCTTCTCTTTCTCTTTCTCATTCAATTTTATTTTGTTTTAATTTTTTGCTTTCCATTTCTATACTTTTTATTAGCTTCCGGCGTATTGAAATTAGAAAATAAAATATAATTTCGGTTCCGTATTTTTTGTCGGTTGAGAATCTCTCATCTGTGCACAAAGCATGTTCAACTCAAAGGATATATGGTATACAACCGAAATTGAAGGTATACTTTTGTTGTTGAGATTTTTATTTTATTTACTATATATTTATTATGCCAGTTTAATTATTATATTTTTTTCTTAATTTAAAGAAAAATATAATTTTAAAGCAGAAGATGTACTTGAAATATATAAAAATATGAATATTATATATAAAAATTGCTTTGGATAGTATTATCGAACATTTTTAGTACGAAATATATTATATCTAGGCTGCCCTTTAATTCTTGCACTTTGGCAACACTAAGTATAAAGACCAGCATACGTTAAATTATACATATACATTAAGTTATTATAAGGAGTTGTTCCCGTTGGATTTCCCGTAATTTGAGAATCGCTCAAAAGAAGGCAAGTTTTAATTGGTGCCAGGAAATGCTAAAAAAATACGGTTGAAGTAGTTCAAAACACGTTTACGATATCGTGACAAGTGACGAATCATGGATCTATGTCTATGAGCTCAAAATAAAACAGCAATTCACTCTTTGAGTCTTCCAAAATGAGCTGAAAAAGTTGTCCGCGGATGAAGCAAATCCAGGCTCATATGTTTTTTTACAATAACCGATCATGTTATAATTGTGGCATTTGAATAACGTAGAACGGTCAATACTAAGAGATAATTTGTTTGCTGAAAGTTTTCGGACAATTGTGGAAAACCAACAGTCGAAGAAAGATCATCCTCTACACGAGCGCCCACATATCAACTTAAACAAAAAAGTTTTTAGGTACTCAAAACCTTGAATTGATGGGTCGTCCTCCTCACAGTCCCGGCTTGACAGCTTCTTCTTGTTCTCAAACATTATGAAAAAAATTAGTAGCGAACATTTTTCTACACCCGAACAGGTTGTTGAGACGTTTATAA